ATAATAATCCTAGTTCCTTCTCTACTTTGGCAATTGTTAGATTAAAAGTGACTATAATATTCTTTCTCTGAATATATAGATATAGATATTGATCTTGATATTGTGGGTGGGTGTTTCTGTAGACAAAAAGAGAGAACTTACTATTCCTTTTAGGTCTGAGAAATTATTTTGAGAGTTTGGACTAAATGCATCAGTATTTAGTGTAAGCCTATTTTTTTTTTCTGGTGAAAATGTGCCAATTAATGATTGATTTGACAGGAATGCTGAAATTGCCAGCTTTCATTAAAGAACAGACTTGGAATAATTTTATTTCTACTTGGAAACCATTTTTGTATTTTTGAGAGAAATTGAAAGAAATGAAATATTGATTTGGGGATTCAATGATTAGAATTATATAGGATTATAGAAATAATATAGACAAATGTTAGCCTTACAATAATAGTTTGATGTATTTTTTTTTTTAAAAAAAACAGTTGATTTCCTTTGCCCTAAAGTAGGGGTGTCAAACTGGCGGCCTGTAGGCCGGATGCATCATGTGCAGGCCATGCCCACCCCGGCTTCACAAAGACAAAGAATGTCGTGATCGAGTTTGACACCCATACCCTAAAGTAACAAATGATATAAAAAATGAGTGATTAAAGTATGGTACTGTATTGGAAGCACTTGGGGACACCCTGTGATACACTTTTGTAATGTTTTTTTTTAATCTGGGTTATCTGAAGTATGTGTATTAAGGCATAGAAGAAAGGGAGTAATACTATCTCCCACTCTCTTGTGCCATTTCTGCCTACAGCCAAAATAAACTGAGCATAAAGCAATTCATAGACCAATCTTAGGCTCAATTCCAGGGCAAACTGCTGACAAGACAGTGTTGTGTTTTGTAATCAGTCTATTAGATTCTTCAATTACCTAGATTGTTGCTGTTTGAAGGTTTTGCACCCAACTCAATCCATCATCTCCCAAATGACAGAACTACTGAATGCTGCCTTTTTCTTTCTATTTGCTACTTTCCTGGTATTAAAGTCAGCAGCAATAGGCTTTCAGACCTGTAAGAAAATGTATTTGCTGGATATGTGACTTCCTGATGAAAGTGAGCAATTTCACGGCCTTTACAGTTCTCAGATTCCCTCTCTTCTATACCACCCATACGAATGAGCCAGTCA